TACATAAAATCTTTTAAAAATGGTTTTCTTTTGCTCTTCTCTTAAATGAGTTTGCCTATGTAGAAAGTTCCAAATTGCCATTTTCTTTACAACTGGTATTATTCCGTTATTCTGACTCTGGTATTTTTTTTTTAAAGATTTTATTTATTTGTCAGAGAGAAAGAGAGAGAGCGAGCGAGCACAAGCAGGGAGAGCAGCATGGAGAGGGAGAAGCAGGCTCCCTGCTCAGCAGGGAGCCCAATGCGGGACTTGAGCCTAAGGCAGATGCTTAACTGACTGGGCCACCCAGGTGTCCCTCTGGCATTATTACTAAAAAAAAAAAAAAAAAAAAAAAAAAAAAATTGGTTTTTTTTTTTTTTTTAAGATTTTACTTACTTGGCAGAGACACAGCAAAAGAGGGAACACAAGCAAGGGGAATGGGAGGGAGAAGTAGGCTTCCCAAGGAGCAGGGAGGCCGATGCGGAGCTCCATCCCAGGACCCTGGGATCATGAGCTGAGCTGAAGTCAGACACTTAAGGACTGAGTCACACAGACAACCCGACATTATTTTTAAGTGTACTGTATATGACAGTTTAAGTAGGCTCTTCCTAGCTGCTATTATGATCTTTTTCTATGGTGGTCAGTTGTGCTTTCTACCATGAAATGTCTCATTAGGGATTTAGTTTATCCTGTTAGTAAATCATTTTGCTTCCTAAATCTGAGGTTTCTTACCCTTCCTGGAAAAATTTCAGCCATTTTACCCTCACATGTTGCTTCTCTCTCACTCTGTTCTCTTCTGCAACTTCCATTAAACTTTATTTTGGACCTCTTAATTTTATTTTTCTAATTTCTTACCCTTCCTTTTGCTTGCTAGGATTTCTCCTGAGAAAATTCCTTAGAACTTTCACACACCATTTCAGACACAATTCTCTTGTGTCCCATATGACAGTTTAACTCATCCATTTATATTGTGTAGGTCATACATTAACACAATTCAAAATCTGAACAATAAGGAGTATGAGGGTTCAGTCTGGGGAACCTGACAGTGTGGAGATGGATGATGGTGATGTACTTAATACCTGAAGTATATATTCACAATAGTTAAAATGGTAAATTTTATTTTACCATAAAAAAATAAACAAATACAAAAAAAGGATACTCAGAACAGGCTAATTCCTCTCCAGTCCTTACCCATCTCATTCCTTCCCCATTCATGCTCTATAACCACTTTTATTGGATTCTTAATATCCTTCTAGCAATTTGGTTTTACAAATGTAAATTCTAACCAAGTCAAATATAGGTCTTATTTCCTCCACCCTTTTTAGTTTTTACACTATTTTCCCATCAATAATGTACTCTGAATCCTTGCCAAATTAGTACAGTGCACCCTCATTTCTTCTTTATAGCTGTGCAGCATCCCATTATATAGATGTATGATAGTTTGTTTTGAAAGGGCTTTGTAATTCCACATTATTTCAAATATTTTATCATAAATAATGCTTCTCATTTGAAATATTTTACTTGAGTGACTGTTTTTCATTTCTCGAAAATTTTTTTCCAATTTGTAATTTCTGATACTGTGTTTACACTTGATTCTTTTGTCTCAGCCTAACACTCATACTTTGTTTTTTGAATTTTTTTATTCATTTATTTGACAGACAGAGATCACAAGTAGGCAGAGAGGCAGGCATAGAGAGAAAGGGGAAGCAGGCTCCCCACTGAGCAAAGAGCCCGATGTGGGGCTCGATCCCAGGACCCTGAGATCATGACCCGAGCTGAAGTCAAGAGGCTTAACCCACTGAGCCACCCAGGCACCCCTCACACTTTGTTTCTTCAAGTTCCCAAGAGTCTAATGATTTTTAGCTTTTTTGTCACCTGGTGTCATTTATGGCAGGCAGACTGTTCCCTCCTATGGTTTGAATTTGGGGGGAGTTGAGCTCACTCTCAGCAGACTAAATTTATGCTGCCTAGATTAAGGATGTCACTGTCCATAAAGACCTTGCTTCTTCCAAATGCTCAAGAGGCAGATCTAGTTCAAGGAGATTCTTGATGTTAACTTATGAGCTTGTTTTCCAGGCCACAGAAATAGTATAAATTCAAAATCCAAATATATATTAATACAAAATCCTAGTTAAACATTGTCAAGGGAAAAGCTTCCTCTTCTAATACAGGGCCCTGGCCAAAATAGGTAAGTTTTCCCTTCCTTCCTGAAGAGGCTGAATGTTTTTCTAGTTCACTTTGTGGACAGAGTGCAGCCCTTATAAGGGTCCTGGCTGTACGACGGTGAGTTATTTTCTGAGCCCCAAAGTTAGGTATACCATGCGGGTTTTTAGTTTCTTTTTCAGTTCTCTCTGGACACTGGAGATTGTAATTTCTTTATGGTAAGCTGGTTCTTACCCTAGTTTAGTTACTTCTAAGCATTCTGAATTATATGGAATAAGCTTTTTTATTTGTTTACAGCATTTAAATTACCTCACAAGGGCAAAGAGCAAGGTAGCAGACCATGGAGTCAGGCACAACACTCTGAATCCCGGCTGTTACACATAATAGCTCTCTAAGTATAGGCAAACAGTTCATCCCTCTAGCTATCAGTTTTTCCTATAAAGCAAAGATAAAGTTGATGTGAGGATTACACTAATAAAGAATGTAAAATGTTTAGTATAGTGACTAGAATATCTCAACTACTTAAATTACTGTTCATACTGTAGTAATTTTTACAAAATAAAGTAGTATGTTGTTAGAGGGTGGAAATATGTCATGTATCTACTTTTACCTTTTTTTAAAAATTCAACTCTAAGCCAACATGGGGCTTGAACTCACCTCAACATCAAAAGTCACATGCTCTACTGACTAAACTAGCCAGGAGCTCATCATGTACCTACTTTAAAAAATATCCATAACACTGATTGCAATAGTAGACAAATTCCTCAATTATTTATATATACATAAGACACTAATGCTGCCAATAGAGATTAACAATACCACACTGACCACATCTAACTGTGAACACAATAGTTGAGAAAGGATGACAAAATAAAACTTTACCATATGAAATAAGATGCTGTTATGAAGTCTGAAAGTTGCATACAATATTTTAGTATACAGAACTCCCTAACCATTAGGGTGATCCAAAAACAGAACAAGCTCCCTCACAAAAAAATGAGCTGGTCAATTTTAAGTACTCAGAAGCAGAAAGTGAAGGACTGCTTAAGAGACGGGACAGAAAGGATTCCTTTATTGGGAAATGCGATAAGTCAACCGTGAAATAAGAGGAGAAAAAATTATTTAGATACTGCCTCATGACACTAATTTAAAAATCCCATGAATACTGCATGAGAGGAGGAGGCTTGGAAACAGCAAACAAAACTTCTCTTAAACACGTTAGAAACACAAAACCAAATTTAGGAATACTTTTTTAGCTTATTCAAATTGAGTAACAAGAGAAGCTTTTCTCATGCCTTGTTCTATTCCAGATCAACCATACCATCATCAAAAATTCTCTCTTGAATGTATGTTATGATTGCATTGACATTTTCCCCCTTTTCAGTATAGACAACCATTCAAAGGTAAACCCAAATATTAAAAATAGTATGAGAAAGCAGTCACAGAAAACTCAGAATTCAATTTTATTTCACACTGGTAGAAACCATGAAAAAGATTTACATTTTCCCACATGACAGCACATTTCAACGGAATATTTCTTGCTATAAGTTAGATCTTGCTGATTTGTATAACTAAAACAATAATTTTTATTCCTCAAGGTAAAGCAAAATGACTTATTAAATGATTGTTTAAAATTTTTAAATCCAGACATAAACATATGGCTTCATTATTAACATTCTACACAGTCCATTACTAAATTATTTCCATTATCAATTAGCACCCATTTATAAAGATGCATTCCTAACATTGTTTTAGTCAGTTGGAATACAGCAGAAAAATTACCAACAGTTTAGAAATATCAAGTATACATTTTTGCTACATATTAAACTGTTGTAACTATACCATATGTATTGAGTTGTGATTAATCTTTATCACCCATAAATTTGTTCTCCAATAATCTTTACCAATAATCTGAAAAATTCAACTACTTAAAATCAAGTAATTGCTATTTTATTTTGCACAAAAAACTAAAAAAAAAAAAACCAAAACAAAACACCCACCTGACTAAAGTGAAGTTTTCAAATAAGTTCATTGGCAGATAAAAATAAAGCAAATTTTTCTAATGGACTGTTTATTTTCTACAGTAGTTGGTTTCAAACATATCTACAAAACAAGTAAACTAAAACTATGCTCAAGGAGAATCATCTTAGAGCAAATCATCTTAGAAATTAGTTTTTAAGATGTCTTAAATATTTCAGGACATACTAGAATATGACCTACATATTCTTTCAGTTAATTACAGAAAAATACAACCACAGAATTATTCCCATTATCTAGACTGAAGATTCTAGTGACTATATAGGCCTAACTGTGGACTAAGGTGCAGTTTAAGAAATAAGTGTAGAAAGTTTAAAGGTTTCTTTATGTAAGAGTAAATACATTTTAAATACCATCAAATCTGTGATTCAAAATGTCAAATTACAGCATGTACTGGTAGCAAATGTCTATGGCAAGGAAGCAATATTTGGTTTGTTATGAAGGATTAAAAAAAAGAATGTATTTTTAGAGAGGAAAAAAAATATTAAATAGAAATGGTATCAGGGAAAATAAAGCCTGGTCCCCAAATTAAAAGGGCCATCAACTTAACAGAGGAATATTACTCTTTACTGAAGAAGCATTATCCCTATTATTGGGAATAATGTAGTAACACCTCATTCTTATTATGTATTACAATCATTAAGTATATAACGAATACATTTATAAAAATACAGATAATGCACGGTGACTAAGTAATTTTGGAGTAAGCCCATAGACTAAGTCACAGCATGCAAAAATCATTTATATCTTAACTGCTCATTTATACCTGAACAAATTTTCATTAAGCATACTAATAATTGTCAAATGATGTAATAAAAAAATCTGGTTACAGTATTTTATTTTGCTGAATTACATTTGGGAAAAAGAAGCTTAGCTGCTTCACCAATTTAATACTAGTATATTCTGAATCCTATTATACAAATACATGTATAGAAACTTAAAAGACCATATTTCCCACAAGTAGAGAGTATTATGTAGTCTGTGTCATTGGTGGGTATTTGCAAAACATTTGAACACTGCAAACATTAGAAGTTTCAAGATTGGGCACAGGAAAAGGTTTATACGCTACTACAATGATGCTGGTGTACACTTCTACACAAGGCCTCTTAGTGACGTCAATCAACTGGAGGTAGAAGTTTATCAATGAACTGCTTGATATCCATCATTTCCTGTTTGGAATAAAGTGATTTAATAAGCAGTTACAAAATCAGAAATTAAATCCCTACTAAAATACCACCAACTAAATGTGTGGTGTATCTAGGTAAGGTAAAACCACATTATCACTACGTCAATTAAATGAAAAGTTGTAACAGAAAAATTAGGGTTCAACAGAAATTTCAGAACATTTCCTGTGATTAGGATTATAACTGTACATTCAAACAATCGCTCCCAACTATTATGCAGTCCTATGAAAATGGTCTGCACTTTGCTATAGCTGAACAAAAAACACAGGTGGAGAGAAAGGGGCTTAGAAGTAACAAAACCTGAGGGCGCCTGGGTGGCTCAGTGGGTTAGGCCGCTGCCTTCGGCTCAGGTCATGATCCCAGGGTCCTCTCGTAAAGATTTTAAAAAAAGATTTTAAAAAAAATCTTTAAAAAAAAAAAAAAGTAACAAAACCTATCCAGAGAAATATCGGTAAGGGCACAATTATGGTCAACTAACCACAGGTAGAAAAACCTAGATTTTAACCTTCCCTCGTTAAAATGAAACGCTAAATTCGTAGCATAAAATATTTTGTGCCTTTCATAAGGATTTACATACAAGCAACCATTTGAAAGACAACATGTACCTATAAAAGATAAAAAAGAATATATCAAGTATTCATTTAAAAAAAAAAAAGTTTCTATAAGACTCCTGCATGTGGCTCGGTTTTCCCACTCCCCTCAAATAATTTCCTACTATCATCTCTAGTATTTCTTTTTCTTTCTTTTTTTTTTTTTTTTAAGATTTTATTTATTTATTTAACAGACAGAGATCACAAGTAGGTAGAGAGGCAGGGAGAGAGAGAGAGGAGGAAGCAGGCTCCCTGCCAAACAGAGAGCCCGATGTGGAACTCAATCCCAGGACCCTGAGATCATGACCTGAGCCAAGGCAGAGGCTTAACCCACTCAACCACCCAGGTGCCCCTCATCTCTAATATTTCAAGGCTTAACTCCACAAACCCACAAATTAGCAACACAAAGAACGTTCACCCTTATAATTTAGTCAATCAGAAAATAAAGCCACAGCACAGAAGTGCTCTATTTTACAACGCTCTAAAGTCCTAGAAGTTTCCTGGTGACTACCTCTTATTACCTCTTCTCACTTTCTGCTCACATTCAGTCCAATGTTCTCCAATGTGACTGCACAAAAAATCATCACCTTTTACTTTTTTTTTCTTTTTATGTAAGCTCTATGCCCAACTTTGGGCTTGAACACACAACCCTGAGATCAAGAGTCACATGCTTGGGATGTGCCAACAGTGTGTGATTCTTGATCTCAGGGTTGTAAGTTCCAGCCCCACACTGAGTACAGAGATTAGGTAAAGAGAATCCTTTCTTTCTTTCTTTTTTTTTTTTTTTTTTAAGATTTTATTGATTTATTTGTCAGGGAGAGAGAGCACGCACAAGCAGGGGGAGTGGCAGGCAGAAGGAAAAGCAGGCTCCCTACTAAGCAAGAAGCCTGACACAATACTAGATCCTAGGACCCTGGGATCATGACCTGAGCCCAAGGCAGCTGCTTAACTGACTGAGCCACCCAGGCACCCCTGGAGCTTTATTTTAAAAACACATCCACACAAACACAAATACCTGAGTTTACCTGCTAACCCCCAATGTGCTGAATCAGAATTGTGGAGTTTGTGGAGTTCTGGTGTCTGAATATTTATTAAGCTCCAGGGTATTTATAACATAAAGCCTACTTTGAAAACCAGTGCTCTGGGCTCTCAGTCCCTCCTGAATACCTGGAGTGCCAGCCCACCTGTTTTCTGGATTCAGCACTTGCTGATGGTTCCAACTATATTCTCAGTAACAGCCTAGAATCCCAGGCCCCCTTGTCTTTCTGGATAAACCATATTACTACCTCTTTTCTGTCTATAAAACAAATGATTCAGCCAGGCTGGATGGTTACAAAACAGTTTTATGTGGGACTACCTCAGTGCTTGGCTATCAATTTTTATTCTAGGCCTTTTCAAGCCTCCAAACTGATGCAGGCCTCCTTCATTCTTTTCAGGTGACCATATCTCCAACTTTACTGAAAAGATAAAGAGGATCTAATGTGAACTTTCAACTACTACTACCTCACCAATCTTTGTTCATATTCATTGACCTTCTTCTAGATTCTCAAGTGTTGTTTTCCTCTTTGAAGGCAAGCACTACCCATTTTAGGACTTATGTACATTATTCGATTTCCCTAAGACTCCCCCTATTAGATATTACCTTCTCTTTATCGCATTTTCTTCCTCCTTTCCTCATCAAGGGAGTCTTTTTCTCCCAACCACTAAAGAGTCTTTTTATCCTTTTCCCCCCCTCACAAAAACTTTTTTAATAAAGATTGATACATGTTGCCTCTACTTTTCCCATTTCCCTATCCACTTTACATAATCCACTACAGGCTCCATCTCCCCAAACATCCAAAGTCACAGATGGCTTACTATTGGGGTAGTTTCTTCCTGATCTATTTTTCGTCAATTGTTCTCTGAATCATGGGACACTGTTCCCTTCTACTCTGAAATTCATTTTTTTTTAAAGATTTTATATATTTATTTGAGATAGAGTGAAAGCAAGTGAGAGAAAGCATGAGCGGGGGGTGAGGAGCAGGAGAAGTAGGCTCCCCCTTGAGCAGGGAGCCCGATGCAGGACTCAATCCAAGGACCCTGGGATCGTGAACTGAACCAAAGTCAGATGCTTAACTGACTGAGCCACCAAGGAACCCCCTTTTTCTTTTTTTTTTTAAATAACCTAACCAATTTTTTAAAAAGTTTATTTATGTATGTAATCTCTACGCCCAACATGGGGCTCATACTCACAACCCCAAGATCAAGAGTTGCATGCTCTTCCGACTGAGCCAGCCAGGTGCACCACCACTCTGGAATTCTCTCCTCTTGTACTCTCGTTCCACATCTAACTCCTTCTAATCCCTCCTCTCACCCCCAGGTTCTATCCCTTGGCTTTTTTCTCATGATATTCTCTCATGGTAATTCTTCAGTGATTAATAATATTGGCAATTATTCTAAATCTCTATCACAGGCTTGAGCTTCAGACAAGTATTTCCAAAACCCATTTTGTTATCACAGGGGCCTATCAATCTCAGTATGTTCACTGAACTCAGTATTATCTCCTTCCTGTTACCCTAAAACTGTTCCTTATACCTACTTTATGATCGGCATCCTGCTCTAGGACAGCCAGCTTTTCATGAGACCATGGCCCAACTGGACAGCTTGCTTTCCCTTTCCCTTTCTCTGCACACTTGCTATCCAAATCCTACCCATTCTTCCAAATCTAGCTTTTGCTTCATGTTCTCAGTACTTCCCAAGATAAAATTAATCTCACTCTTCTCAGTGTTTTAGAGAACTTTGAAAACTTCAAATGTAACACTTATCACATTCTGTTTTCTATACAATTATTTGGATATATATCCACAATTACTTGGATATATATCCTTTTCCCTTATTACATTTTAAATTTTATTAATTTGGCTTAAATTTTAACAAAAAGGAATGTTTTGTATTTTGAATTATGCACAAAGCTGGCATATAATAGGAAAACAGTGAATGCTTGCTGAATTAAATTGAATAAACTCTGATCTAAATCCTGCTAACCTATGATTCAATGTGAATTCATTAATTAACTCCTTTAAATACCCAAGCGATCAAATGCTACTTACGTTAAAAATATCACATGAAAAAAGTTGCAAATATATCTCTGTAATCACTGCTCCCAAACAATTACCTGTTGACAGGAACTATGCATCATGCCTTCATAGGTTTTGAAGGTGACATTGGCTGGATTTACTAATGTTTTTAGCTTTTCGGCAGTAAGAGAAGCAAACATTAGGGGAACTAAAGGATCGCAATCTCCATGGCACTGAAGAATAGAAATATCTCTATTAACACCACCGATAGGACCCTGCAAAAAATAAAAGAAAACAGAGCATTATATGCCGGCATTTACAACTGTAGCTAGATATGCAAATACGTTATTTCATAGGTTCTACTCGGCCACAGAAATAAAATTCCTTCTCTCCTTATACTCCCCACAACTCTTCAGTTAAACTTTTATAGGATATATGATCACCCTGTCTTGCTTTTTTAAAAGATCTTATTTATTTACTTAGAAAGCGTGCAAGCAGGGAGAGTGGCAGAGGGAGAAGGAGAGAAAGAATCTCAAGCAGACTCCCAGCTGAGCATGGAGCCTGATGTGGGGCTTGATCCAATGACCGTGAGATCATGACCGGAGCCAAAACCAAGAGTCGGATGCTTAACTGACTGAGCCACCCAGGTGCCCCTCCCCTGTCTTATATTACTGTTTTCCCAATGAAGTGGTTTCTTGAAGCAGACTCAATCTTAATTATTCTTTATATGTTCACAGTATCTTGAAATAAGAGATGTGTTTTAACAGAATCATGTTCTTCTCAGTTCTTATTTAACTGATTTAAATAAGATGGTTAATAAACAGCATTTAGTATATATAAGACACCAAAGAATTACTATATATAGTGATGAGGAAAAAGATCCTAGATTTGGGGCGCCTGGGTGGCTCAGTGGGTTAAAGCCTCTGCCTTCGGCTCAGGTCATGATCCCAGAGTCCTAGGATCAAGCCCCACATCGGGCTCTCTGCTCAGCAGGGAGCCTGCTTTCTCCTCTCTCTCCCTCTGCCTGCCTCTCTGCCTTGTAATCTCTGTCTGTCAAATAAATAAATAAAAATCTTAAAAAAAAAAAAAAAAAAAAAAAAAAAAAAAAAAAAAGATCCTAGATTTAAAAATGAATTTGAAAATAAATGTCCACTTCTACCATGTGTATAATATATTGCTTTACACACTACTGAGTACTTAGAAATTCTATTCTATGGTAAAATTTTGCTATTAAGCAGTAAAAATACTGAACATTTGAAAATTTTATTTCTGTGTGTAAAAGATTATCCTAAACTTATATATACATTTTAAAATGTACCAAACACTTTAAATATAAGATTTATGACAAAAGGACTTATTTCTTACTCCATTCTCTGCAATCAACAATAAAGACAATATAGTATTCAGATAAAGCCTACTAGGTACGTCGCAAAAGTGCCAGAAAGTTGTTTTTTAAAAAGGATGACTTGGGGGGCGCCTGGGTGGCTCAGTGGGTTAAAGCCTCTGCCTTCAGCTCAGGTCATGATCCCAGGCTCCTGGGATGGAGCCCCGCATCGGGCTCTCTGCTCAGCAGGGAGCCTCCTTCCCCCTCTCTCTCTCTGCCTGCCTCTCTGCCTACTTGTGATCTGTCAAATAAATAAATATTTTTTTTTTTTAAAAAAGGATGACTTGGGGCGCCTGGATGGCTCAGTCATTAAGCAGCTGCCTTCAGCTCAGGTCATGATCTCAGGGTCCTGGGATCAAGCTCTGCATTGGGCTCCCTGCTCAGTGGAGAGCCTGCTTCTCCTGCTTCCCCTGCTTGTGTTCCCTCTCTTCCTCTGTCAAATAAATAAATAAAATCTTTTAAAAAAATGAAAAATAAAGAAAGGATGACAGAGGTAAACGATGGGCTTTGAGTGATGATACACAATCTAACAAATGTACCACAGGGCTGCAGGGTGTCCATAGCCTGTGCACAGACTGGAACTTTCTGTTTTCTGCTCAATTTTGCTATGAACTTATTAAACTGCTCTAAAAATATATAGTTGATTAATTAAAAAAAAAAAAAAATGACCTCTCACCAACATTATCTGTGATCTCCCAGTTCAGTAATCTAATGCTACAAGTATCAGTCAGGCTACCTGGGGAAATGAAGCCCGGAGTGGAAGCCAGCAACTGAGTGCAGTGACACCAGCCAGTTTCTGCTGAGTGTTAAGAGCAGTGTATAAAGATAAAGCTCCTCCCTGGAAAGACAAGCAGAGAAAAGTCAATGGAACACATCCTCTACTAACAGCAACCTAAGAGATTTCTTATTATTAATAATGCCCATTAAAGAAAAAAATCAACCTGGACGTTTGATGTCAAATCAAATCAGGCAAACTAGCAGAAATACATACATACCCCACCCCACCATGCCCTGAAGGACATGATTCTCTATACTGAATACCACTTTGAGAACATAGCAACCACGGAATCAGTCAAGAAACAGTTAACTATATTTAAATGCACTTGCAATCACCTTAGGAACATTCTAAACTTATATTTTCTGCTCTGAAAAGTCTTAGGTATAAAATCAAACGTAGTCTTAAGTTGGTAATCTTTTCTACAGCAAAAATTCAAGATCACAAGGACTCTATAGCAGGCACCTTCAGAGTATTTGTCTCCCAGCTTACAATACCCTGTGATCTGGGAAGAGCATTCCCATTAGTATTCTACATGCCAAGTCACTCTGACCATGCCTTTGGTCACTGGGCCCCATGGAAATATGAGATTCTTTCTCATCGAAGATAGTCATGTTCCTTTTCTCAAGATTTTGAAATTGGGATTCAGTGATTATCAGCCTGTCTCTTTGTGTGGCTGGAATAGTAACCTGTAAATTCAAGAACTGGAAAAGCTATAGACTGAAAAGGTGGAGAGCACCAACTGTAGATGAAAAGGCAAATGAAGCAGATGGGCAGAAAAACAGGAGACGAGAAAGAAAGCCATGAGGGCTTTCCACTGTCTTAGCTATTTCCTGAGGCCCTGATTCATTCTCATCTTTTGTTTTCCTGATGTGATCCCACAGACTCATAATCTGTTCTTTCTTGCTTAAGGCAAGAGGAATTCCTTTCTGTAAATCATCATCAACAAATCTCACTATATAGTCTCCTATGTTAGCTTTTTTCCGAATCAAACATTCACTTCTATACCTACATTTATGTCACAACGTGTATTACAAAAGACATTATCTTGACTTCAACAAATACCAAACCAGTAACCTCTTTTTACTATACTGTATTGGCAACCTATCTTTCTACTGAATTCTAACTTCTAAAGAATTCCCTAATTCTGACATTGTCCTAATTCAGGCAGTCTGAACACTAAGTTGTTGATTTAGAAGATTTACAGATTAGAAGCTAGAGCAATCTGGGGCGCCTGGGTGGCTCAGTGGGTTAAAGCCTCTGCCTTCGGCTCAGGTCATGATCTCAGGGTCCTGGGATTGAGTCCCGCATCAGGCTCTCTGCTCAGCGGGAAGCCTGCTTCCTCCTCTCTCTGCCTGCCTCTCTGCCTACTTGTAATCTGTCAAATAAATAAAATAAAAAATATTAAAAAAAGAAAAAGAAGAAGCCGGAGCAATCTGGGATGGGTGACAAGGTGAACATGTGATAAGCTGAAATAAAGACGTAAGGTCAATATGAGGTAACTAAGTCTGCAGAAAAAGTACAAGAGGTAGGAGAAAAAGTACAGAAAGATGTCAAAAATCACATACTTAAATCTAAAATCTGTTCTACAAGACACAAAGAGGAAAGATGATAGAGTGACATCATCATGATGGGACACAGGTCGTTCCTAACTTTGCTCCCTTCCACAAGAACTAGCATCTAATCATGGACAGGACACCACCGAGAATCTTAGCACATGAGGAGAGAGGGTGAGGCTGAGGCACCCTCTGAACCACAGAAACCAAGAGAGACCACGCCAAAAGGTAAGAGAAGTGGCTACATGCTGACTGCATTGCCCCTCTCCCAAGCCAGTGCAGCATCACCCAGAGAGTCTCCCAAGAACCTCTCGTTTCTGCAGTGGAAGAACAGAACTCAGGGGGAACAACCAGCAACCTCCAGCATTATAGGTCACTTTGTGGGAGACCCTACTTGGATTGTGTCCCAAGGGGACTACAGGGGAGTCTGTGGGGCTCAACCACTGGGAATCTGTAACAAAAAGAGGGAAGAAATTCTCTTGTTGTCTACCCTACTGTTCCTATTAGTAGTCTCCTCTTAAGACAGGGGAATTATACCTGTGTTTATTAAATCACAATTTTGTTTAAAGGGGGTACATAGCATCAACTTAGATACCTAACTACATGTATGATAATTATTTTAAGAAAATACATTCCAAGTGTGAATCAATTTACTTATTAATAAATTTTCAAGACATAATCTAGAAATTGAAGGCAATTGCTGGAGAAAAGCAGAAAGAATACATTCTCATAATTAACTATATCTAGTCCATTCAAACTTAACTCAGCATTAAAGGTAACAGTATTAAAAACAAAGAGATTAAATATTAAAAACAAAGAGAACAGTACATCAGATTCTATAACATACTAAAAAAAGACTCCTCTATAGAAAAGGACAGAATCCACAGACTCCTAGATAAATATACCAATAACATATCACCCAAACTTTACCTTACCTGAGAAAATCCTCCCAAAATAATTCTGTTAGAAGGAATGCCATTCTTCACCTCTTGCTCTATCAAAGCTTTTACTAAAAACAACATAAAATTAAATCACTAATACCTTCAAAGTTAAGCCTAAATACACCATTTTAAATAGGATAAAACAGGTCAAAACAAGTGAAAAACTTGAAGCACTCTACTAACTAAAATACAAAATTAGAATGTATTTTCATTATAAAACTCATTTGCAGGTGTTGTTTAAACTGTTCAATTATTTCTATTATAATTTATAAACAATTAGTTCTTTCTCTTATCAGTCAACAGCTATTCTTTTATCTATGGTCAATTCTGTTCATATAAATATATTTCTCACTCTTCAATGAATCAATTTTATTTATCAATATAAATAATATATTTAAAATATAAATATATTACACAATTTGTTATAGTGTTTAAAAAGTTCATTCTATTATTTTAAAAACTACAGTACTAATTTTTTCCTATAGCCAATAAATGATGCAGGGGAAAAAAATCAAGTGAGTCTTTTGTTTCTGCAAAATACTTTGACACAAATCATTAACTATAAAACTTGAGGACTCCTAGAATTTCCTTTTTTCCTTATAACCTGTCCTTTTTTTTTTTTTTTTTTTTGTAACCGCCCCTTTTACAGATTATGTCTTCTTGTTTTTACATATATACAAGAGTTTCATTTTTTTTTTTTTAAAGATCTTTTATTTAAGAGCAAGCATGCAAGTAAGAGCACAGCAGGAATGATGGTCAGAGAGGGAGAAGCGACACCCCGCTGAGCAGGGAGGCAGACATATGATTCCATCTCAGGATTCTGGGATCGTAACCTGAGCCAAAGGAAGATGCTTAACCACCTAGAGCCACCTAGATGCACCAAGAGTTTCATTTTTAAAGATTAAAATTTCCAACTTCGTACTTATCAAAAAATAAAAATTTGCTTTTTCTAAAACACTGAGAAAAACAAACGCCCAAATGAAAAACTATTTTCCTTTTATATAAAAAGTTCAGTACTGAGTTACAGTGAGTATGGAAAGTAACGCCCAGACTATGGCATGGAAGAATGGGCTAGAGAACAGTAAAGGGGGCTTAAGAAATAAAAGAAGTACTGAGAAATGTGAGGTATTTATTTACGGGAGACTGCATAGCCTCAGTCAGATAGAGACTGCAGATGTGGCAGAATGGGGGTGCCTGGGTGGCTCAGACGGTTAGGCGGCAACTCTTGATTTCGGCTCAGGTCATGGTCTCAGGGTCGTGAGATCAAGCCCTGTGTCAGGCTCCGTACTTAGTACACAGTCTGCTTGTCCCTCTCCCTCTGCTCCTCCCTATCGCTTGTGCAAACACACACATGCTCTCTCTAAAATAAATAAATTAAACAAATAAAATCTTAACACCCACCCCAACCACCAAAGAAAGGGAATAATGGCCGAGGTGTGAGGAGGGAAGGTTCAGGTAAGGGCCTAGGGAATGTTAGTTGCTTACCACTGGGTGAGTTGTTGGGACTACTTCCCCCCAAGTTTCACAAAGCTTTAGTTAACCCTCCAGGTTACACTAAGCGCTGAGATAATATTGACAAACTACAAAGACAGCAGTCAGCACTAGAGCAGTAGTGTTCCAATTTCAATCACCGTTTGCATACGGGCAAGGGCACCACTATGCTCCCTGGACCTTAACCTGAGCACTTTTTTTCTTTGTTCAGGAGCTTACTCTTATAGGCCTCCAACAGAGGCTCCATTCTTTCCTAGCTCTGAGTCTGAGCCTCACTTTCTCCAATAATACATCACCTTGGAAAGGAAAGAAATGTCAAATATGTCACAGGCCAACTCTATCGCTAGGGTTGAACTTTTCACTCTGGAAATCACCAGGCCTACCAGTCTTCTCCACAAGGCCCTGCCCCTCCCCTATCTTTCACAAGATCTAACAACTCACTCCCAAACCCAATACTTATTTTTGTCATCAAATTATTGTTTGAAAAAATCCTAGCTCCAGGATTCTCGATTTGACCTACATTTTGATGATCCTAAAAGCCAATGTTCTTGGTTTGACCATCCCAAATTGCCAAAGCATTTTGAGTGTATCTTCCCTGTTTTGAAGTTTTTAAGAGTTCTTTAGAAACATTTTTTAAAAGGATCCTACTGGTTTTTAAGCCATTTTGGAAATTTTCAAACAAATCTAAAAATAGAAAGTGTGCAGTAACTCTCAGGTACACATCACCTGACTTCTGCAACTATCAATTCATAGCCAGGCTTGTTTCATCAATATCTGCTGCATCACCACCCAATTATTCTTAAGTCAATCCCAGCGATCCCATCTACTTGTAAAAACTTCAGCACATTCATAAAAGGATGACTCTATACATTTTCTAAAATCAGATTTCTCCCAATAAGCTAGTGTTCTTTATGCTTTCACTCTAAAAATAAATGGAATTATCACGTCCATAAGAAACATGGAATACCAACCAGAGAACACACTTTGGAGATTCTGTAAAGTAGAGCTAAGACTTATGTCATAGAAGTGTTAAATGAGATGATTTACAAGAATTACCTGGATTGTTTAATAACTAAGTATTCAATCAGTGGCATCTATTATTATTACCACACGAAAATTACCCAATATAAATTACGTTATGTATGATTATATCACTATACCCAACCTTATTTCAAGTCTCCTTAATGAAGAAAGAAAATGACTATTTTCTCTATTAGTCTATGTAAATCAAAGCAAAATTATGTATCCAATTGAGATAATAAATACAATACAGTTTGATAAAGGCCATTCTTCCCCATTTATTTCATCTTCATTTACAGTTAAGGGAGTCCATGTAGCCATCATGGCAAACAAGTTAGAGAGTGATCACAAAGGAAGGAAATAGCATCACCTCCTAAGTTCAGATAATTATATATTATTTTATCAACACCAATAAAACTATTGAACCTAGTAAAAAAAGAATGCTTTTGTCTTTGTAAAATATTTCTGTACTTACCATTTTCTGCTGCCTGTTTAATTCCAGGTTCATCCTCCTGTGACTCTGGTGAAAGCCCAATAATATCAAACCTGGAAAATAAGGCAAAATCTTAAAAGAGCTATTTGATTCTAAAAGTATGTTTCACTAAATTCAAGATAAAAAGGGCTAACCATGAAAATGAAACTCAAAATAAAATGTCTCAGAGGCCAAAAAATTAACTTAAATGTGTGATTCTGACATTCTACTTGTTCCTTTCACCAACCAGATACAGATTTAATGTTAAAAAATCTTAATACTACATAATTTTAATCTAAGAAAATACCTAGTCTAATCGTACAGCCAAGCAAGAATCTCAACACACACTCCCCTAAAAAGTTTGCAATAAATTCCAGCCATTCCTTTCCCCTTCTATTGCATCATAAGTCAATCCAATTGAACAGAGCTACTTTACCATGTCATTCTCACATGCACTACCTTCATATGTATTGAGCAAAGGAATTATACCGAGCTCTATCCACATTCTGCAAAACTTTTTCATCACACATAGTAGATACCTCCAACTAGAGACCCAAGGGAAGGTTTCCGCTGGCCCTTTCCATTTCTCTATCAAGTTATATCCTTTCATTAATGGTCTCTAGCCACATTAGCCAGAAATTCTGTTCTGGATGGGAATTTTGCCGGAGAGGGAAGATGAAAGAACCAATGGGCACAGCAGGCAGGAACCTGTGAAAGCTGCCAAGGAATCCAGAAGAGATAAAAAGGAATTGAAGGGGTGGGTAAGATATGGGTGGGAACAAGCAGAGAGGACAAGATGACAACAGACTGGAAGTAGCTTAGAGGAACAAAGAACTGACTCTACTTCCTGATATAAAACACACAAGGGTAGGAATGCAAGCTGGTACAGCCATTCTGGAAAACGGTATGGAGGATCCTCAAAAAGTTGAAAATAGAGCTATGCTACGACCTGGCAACAGCACTACGGGGCATTTACCCCAAAGATACAAATGTAGTGATCTGAAGGCACACCTCCACCCCAATATTTGTAGCAGCAATATCCAAAACAGCCAAACTATGGAAAGAGCCCAAATGTCATCGACATATAAATGGATAAAGAAAATGTGGTACACACAGAGAGAGGAATATTATGCAGCCATCAAAAATTGAAATCTTGCCATTTGCAACGATGTGGATGGAACTAGAGGGTATTATGCTAAGTGGAATAAGTCAATCAGAGAAAGACAATTATCGTATGATCTCACTGATATGCGGAATTTAAGAAACAAGACAGAGGATCACAAGGAAAGAAAGGGAAAAAATCAAACAAGAGGAAACCAGAGAGGGTAAAAAAAACATAAGACACTCTTAATCTTAGAAAACAAACTGAGGGTTGCTGGAGGGGAGAGAGGTCACAGAATGGTGTGGCTGGGTGATGGACACTGGAGAGAGTATGTGTTGTGGTGGGCGCTGGGTATTGTATAAGACTGATGAATCACAGAACTGTACCCCAAAACAAATAATACATTATATGTTAACTTAAAAAATTAAACATTTTTAAAAATTATTAAAATGACACTAAGCATCACTGATCTAGATTTTGATGAGAAAGAGTGGCTTTTACCAATCTGCTCCTCTTATTGTCCTGCTTCCATGGTAGAAACTAAAACAAGATCCCTGAGAGACTAAAAAATAAATAAGTAAAAACATAGAAGGGAATGTAAAAATATCTTGAGAGGGTGGAAGAGGAAGTGGTTTCCTTAAAAGCTTGTCAACTCTCCAGACAGGCAAGAAATTGGAAGGGAGGGGCGCCTGGGTGGCTCAGTGGGTTAAGCCTCTGCCTTCGGTTTGGGTCATATCTTAGGGTTCTAGGTTCAAGCCCCACATGGGGCTCTCTGCTCGGCAGGGAGCATGCTTCCCCTCTCTCTCTGCCTGCTGTTCTGTCTGCTTGTGATCTCTTTCTTTCTGTCAAATAAATAAATAAATAAGAATTTAGGGGGAAAAAAAAAAAGAAATTGGAAGGGAGAGAGGCTGCTGCTTAATTAGAGTCTATGCCACATGGGATAATTCAAATGATGGGTCACTGAAACCAGTAAAGGCTTATTAAGCAGTAAGAGATTTTCTACAGTATTTCTGTCTACCCATTTTCTCCTCTATCTCTACCTGTTGGTACAGCTCTTTAAGGTTACCTCTGAATCTAAAATACAAAACCTTAAGGTTAAACTTGAAGGTTTAAGGTTAAATGTAAAGTTAATTATATAACTTTGCAACCTAAAAAGATAATTAAGAATTGTTACACACAAAAGCACTTCCAGTTAAAACAAAAAACACAAAAGTTAAGTATAAATAAAAAGTTCTTACTGAATAATTCTGACTTACCAAGAAGGCATAGCCATGTTCATATTCAATGTTACAGGCATAATTGGTCTACGCGGGAAAGAAAAAAACAGCAAAATAAGAGTAATGTAACAAGGCATAAAACCTGATAAATTTCATCAATTAAGAAGAGATAATTACTTGAGGTTTACACAAAACTGAATGCTACAATTTTAACATATGAACCGTATCACTGCATCCACACCTATGTCATTTTTTCTACATATCCTGTATTCTGAAGATGTAGCAACAGCTGGAAAGGGCTAAGCTTGGCAAATAAAAAACATTTTCCTTTCTCAATTCCCTTATTTAATACTTTCAAACCAAACATGACCAGGAAAACAAGTAATCAAGACAGTTGGAAATGTATAAAATATGAGACTCTGGCTAAGGGTTTAAGGAAACGAGCAATGAACCACACAGATAAAGTAGCGTCAATTCCCATATGGTCAGATTACATTTTTGCTTATATTCTAAGTTTTACCTATGTACGTGGTTTTTTTTTTTTTTAAGATTTTATTTATTCATTTGACAGAGATCAGTAGGTTCCCTGCTGAGCAGACAGCCCGACGCGGGGCTTGATCCCAGGACCTTGGGATCATGACCTGAGCCACAAGGCAGAGGCCTTAACCCACTGAGCCACCCAGGCGCCCCTGTATGTGGTTATTTAAGAGACCTCTAAATAAATATAAGTTTTGCCTAAGCATCCACTATACCCAATTCAGGTTTGTGATGAAAAATCTGCTGGATAACCTGAATATAGCTAGGTACAATGAAAAGAAAAATACACTAGAATTACATCTCACCACTAACCTTCTAATTCATGAAACAATCTATCTTAGAGGTTACAAAATCTTATCAAAATTTCTTTGAGGACATGAATTTCCCTAGACTGGGAATAGCCTTAAACAAAATCAATCCTGGGGCCAGTAACAATACAGCAGAAATACTAACATAATCAAGAATTCTGTCTTATAGGGGTGCTGGCGTGGCTCAGTGGGTTAAAGCCTCTGCCTTCAGCTCAGGTTATGATCTCAGGATCCTGGGACTGATCCCCTCATCAGGCTTTCTGCTCAGTGGGGAGCCTACTTCCCAGCTCACTCTGGCTGCCTCTCTGCCTACTTGTGATCTCTCTCTGTCAAATAAAATCTTAAAAACAAAAACAAAAACTTCTATTTCAGGATAAAAAGGGGACAAAAAGTTTTCTTACCTCATCAGGTATTTTTCCTCGTTCCATTTTCTCTTTCACATTTATCATCTCTACTGCTACTACCACTTCTGAGGATGAATTACTAACCTATTAGCATGAATCTAATCCCATTTGCCTTCATAGCTACTGTCTCTTGGCAACCTTTTGACCTAAAACCTTGCCAATCTCAGCAATTTTCTGAGTTTGCTCAAGACATCCACAAACATTTTCAGAATTTGAAACCAAATCTATCAGACTTCAAAACCTGTGTTCTTTCCACGTACATCACATTGCCTTTAGCTGATAAAATTTAGGAGTGTTTTCAACATATTAAAGAAAGATCTCTCACAAACCTGATAAGTAAATAAATCCCCTTCTGGGATTCCTTAGATCTCAGATGTTTGTGTATCTAAAGGAATTTTTCTAAGCCTGAGTTCAACTGACCTCCACGAAAGCATTATTTTAACTTTCCCAACAAAAAAGAAAAAAAAAAATTCTATGTAGCCAAGTTATCAGTTTAGTTTCAAAAAATTTACTAATCTTTATTTTTAAACTGAATACTTAAAAGGATAAAAGCTGGTTATATTCAAATCCTTTTCTAGGAAAGTAAAGCTATCACAATTATTCTTCTCCAGATTCTGAATCACAAATGTAAAGATTAAAATACTTACGCATGTGGGCAGATGTATTTGATATGTGAACTTCTGATACCTGCAAAGGCTTCTGCCCATCCATGCCTGGTAGAGAAATTATTTGAATGATGCCATTAGATATGATTTTAAATCCCAATAAATTAGTAACAGAATAGTAACTTTTAAAAAGTTGCAAGGATAAATGTTAACTCCTTATAAAGTCTTAGAAGTATGGACCATCAATGGTAGCAAAATACCACAACCAACACAGAAACAACCCAAAGGCTAATACAGCTCAAGCTTTACCTACAAGTTAAGATGATGTCTCCTGATTTCTGAAGAGCAGTGTGTTTTCTTCCATATATTTCTATAAGGCTTTATAATTCACAAAACACAGATATGCTTATCTCTTTATAATCTCACAACAATGTGCCTAACAAAATAGGCAAGATAGAGAATACATTCACATTATATTATATAATGTGAATTACCATATAATGAAAAAAGTCGTCTCAGGAGTAAATCCGTTATCTTAAACTCTACATGCTAATAAATAAATAAATAAACTCTACATGTTTACTGCACTACTAAAAATAACTTTCACATTCTTTACTTGTGTGTATCATGTACACATACATGTTCAAAATGGAATACTAGAAAAACTGAAAATCATCATAATCCTTCAAGCCAGAAATAAACAGTTAATCTTCTGATGTATTTCTTTCCAATTCTTTCATGTTTATCACTTAAGAAACAGATAACAGATTTTACAAAAATGGGATAATATACATACATACAGTTTCCTGCTTGTTTACATTTGACATTATAACTGATACTTTTTACATGTTACTTTTTTTTTTATTTTTTTTTTAATTTTGGGGGGGAAGGGGCAGAGGGGAGAAAGAATCTTAATCTCCACAACCAGCACGGAGCCAATGTGGAGCTTGATCCCATGACCCTGAGATCATGACCTGAGCAGAAATCAAGAGTCCGCTGCTTAACTAACTGAGCCACGTAGGATCCCCTAACATGTTACTTTTACTAAAGGATAAAGTAAAATTAACTTAAACGGTGCCTGGCTGGCTTAGTTGGTAGAGGATGTGACCTCCATTGGTCATGAGTTCAAGCCCCATGTTGGTTATGGAGCCTACTTAAATTTTAAAAATAATTAAAAATTTAAAAAACCTGGGGTTTCAGTCAAGATGGCGGAGAAGTAGCAGCTGAGACTACTTCAGGTTGCGGGAGATCAGCTAGATAGCTTATCTAAAGATTGCAAACACCCACAAATCCAACGCGAGATCGAAGAGAAGAACAGCAATTCTAGAAACAGAAAATCAACCACTTTCTGAAAGGTAGGACTGGCGGAGAAGTGAATCCAAAGGGACGGGAAGATAGACCCCGGGGGGAGGGGCCGGCTCCCGGCAAGCGGCGGAGAAACGGAGCACAAAAGCAGGACTTTTAAAAGTCTGTTCCGCTGAGGGACATCGCTCCAGAGGCTTAACTGGGGTGAAGCCCACGCGGGGCGAGTGTGGCCTCAGGTTCCGCAGGGTCACAGAAGGATCGGGGGTGTCTAAGTGTCGCAGAGCTCGCAGGTATTAGAACAGGGAAGCCGGCTACAGAGACGGAGCCGAGGAGTGAGCTCACAGCTCGGGTTTACCTTGAACCGGTCTCAGGCTCGGTCAGCTCGGAGCGCGGCCGGAGGCCAGGCAGACGGGAGTAATTGGACGCTGTTCCCTGAGGGCGCACTGAGGAGTGGGGCCCCGAGCTCTCGGCTCCTCCGGGCCGGAGACTGGGAGGCCGCCATCTTCATTCCCGTCCTCCGGACTCTACGGAAAGCGCTCAGGGAACAAAAGCTCCCGAAAGCAAACCCGAGCGGATTACTCAGCCCGGCCCCTGGTAAGGGCGGTGCAACTCCGCCTGGGGCAAAGACACTTGAGAATCACTACAACAGGCCCCTCCCCCAGAAGATCAACAAGAAACCCAGCCAGGACCAAGTTCACCTACCAAGGAGTGCAGTTTCAATACCAAGGAGAGCAGCGGAATTCCAGAGGAGGAGAAAGCAAAGCACGGAACTCATGGCTTTCTCCCCATGATTCTTTAGCCTTGCAGTTAATTTAATTTTTTTTTCTTTTTCAATTTTTTTCTCTTCTTCTGCTAAATTTTTTTAAACTTTTACCCTTTTCTTTTTTAACGTTTTTTAACTAGTTTATCTAATATATATATATTTTTTTTCCTTTTTATATTTTTTTCATTATTGGTTTTCTTTTTTTATTTGTTTCTTTTTTCTTTTTTCTTTTTTTTTTTTCCTTTCTGAACCTCTTTTTATCCCCTTCCCCCACGCCCCCTCACGATTTGGGATCTCTTCTGATTTGGCTAAAGCATATTTTCCTGGGGTTGTTGCCACCCTTTTAGTATTTTACTTGCTCCTTCATATACTCTTATCAGGACAATATGACAAGGCGGAAAAATTCACCACAAAAAAAAGAACAAGAGGCAGTACCAAAGGCTAGAGACCTAATCAATACAGACATTGGTAATATGTCAGATCTAGAGTTCAGAATGATGATTCTCAAGGTTCTAGCTGGGCTCGAAAAAGGCATGGAAGATATTAGAGAAACCCTCTCGGGAGATATAAAAGCCCTTTCTGGAGAAATAAAAGAACTAAAATCTAATCAAGTTGAAATAAAAAAAGCTATTAATGAGGTGCAATCAAAAATGGAGGCTCTCACTGCTAGGATAAATGAGGCAGAAGAAAGAATTAGCGATATAGAAGACCAAATGACAGAGAATAAGGAAGCTGAACAAAAGAGGGACAAACAACTACTGGACCACGAGGGCAGAATTCGAGAGATAAGTGACACCATAAGACGAAACAACATTAGAATAATTGGGATTCCAGAAGAAGAAGAAAGAGAGAGGGGAGCAGAAGGTATATTGGAGAGAATTATTGGAGAGAATTTCCCCAATATGGCAAAGGGAACAAGCATCAAAATCCAGGAGGTTCAGAGAACCCCACTCAAAATCAATAAGAATAGGTCCACACCCCGTCACCTAATAGTCAAATTTACAAGTCTTAGTGACAAAGAGAAAATCCTGAAAGCAGCGCGGGAGAAGAAGTCTGTAACATACAATGGTAAAAATATTAGATTGGCAGCAGACTTATCCACAGAGACCTGGCAGGCCAGAAAGAGCTGGCATGATATATTCAGAGCACTAAACGAGAAAAACATGCAGCCAAGAATACTATATCCAGCTAGGCTATCATTGAAAATAGAAGGAGAGATTAAAAGCTTCCAGGACAAACAAAAACTGAAAGAATTTGCAAACACCAAGCCAGCTCTACAGGAAATATTGAAAGGGGTCCTCTAAGCAAAGAGAGAACCTAAAAGTAGTAGATCAGAAAGGAACAGAAACAATATACAATAGCAGTCACCTTACAGGCAATACAATGGCACTAAATTCATATCTCTCAATAGTTACCCTGAATGTTAATGGGCTAAATGCCCCAATCAAAAGACACAGGGTATCAGAATGGATAAAAAAACAAAACCCATCTATATATTGCCAACAAGTAACTCATTTTAAACCCGAAGACACTTTCAGATTTAAAGTGAGGCGGTGGAAAAGAATTTACCATGCTAATGGACATCAGAAGAAAGCAGGAGTGGCAATCCTTATATCAGATCACTTAGATTTTAAACCAAAGACTATAATAAGAGATGAAGATGGACACTATATCATACTTAAAGGATCTGTCCAACAAGAAGATCTAACAATTGTAAATATCTATGCCCCTAACGTGGGAGCAGCCAACTATATAAACCAATTAATAACAAAATCAAAGAAACACATCGACAATCATACAATAATAGTAGGGGACTTTAACACTCCCCTCACTGAAATGGACAGATCATCCAAGCAAAAGATCAACAAGGAAATAAAGGCCTTAAATGACACACTGGACCAGATGGACATCACAGATATATTCAGAACATTTCATCCCAAAGCAAGAGAATACACATTCTTCTCTAGTGCACATGGAACATTCTCCAGAATAGATCACATCCTTGGTTCTAAATCAGGTCTTAAATGTTATCAAAAGATTGGGATCATTCCCTGCATATTTTCAGACGACAATGCTCTGAAGCTAGAACTCAATCGCAAGAGGAAATTTGGAAAGAACCCAAATATATGGCGACTAAACAGCATCCTTCTAAAGAATGAATGGGTCAACCAGGAAATTAAAAAAGAATTGAAAAAATTCATGGAAACAAATGATAATGAAAACACAACAGTTCAAAATCTGTGGGACACAACAAAGGCAGTCCTGAGAGGAAAATATATAGCGGTACAAGCCTTTCTCAAGAAACAAGAAAGGTCTCAGGTACACAACCTAACCCTACACCTAAAGGAGCTGGAGAAAGAACAAGAAAGAAAGCCTAAACCCAGCAGGAGAAGAGAAATCATAAAGATCAGAGCAGAAATCAATGAAATAGAAACCAAAAAAACAATAGAACAAATCAACGAAACTAGGAGCTGGTTCTTTGAAAGAATTAATAAGATTGATAAGCCCCTGGCCAGACTTATCAAAAAGAAAAGAGAAAGGACCCAAATAAATAAAATCATGAATGAAAGAGGAGAGATCACAACGAACACCAAAGAAATACAGACAATTATAAGAACATATTATGAGCAACTCTATGCCAACAAATTTGACAATCTGGAAGAAATGGATGCATTCCTAGAGACATATAAACTACCACAACTGAACCAGGAAGAAATAGAAAGCCTGAACAGACCCATAACCAGTAAGGAGATTGAAACAGTCATCAAAAATCTCCAAACAAACAAAAGCCCAGGGCCAGATGGCTTCCCGGGGGAATTCTACCGAACATTTAAAGAAGAACTAATTCCTATTCTCCTGAGACTGTTCCAAAAAATAGAAATGGAAGGAAAACTTCCAAACTCATTTTATGAGGCCAGCATCACCTTGATCCCCAAACCAGACAAGGATCCCATCAAAAAAGAGAACTACAGACCAATATCCTTGATGAACACAGATGCAAAAATTCTCACCAAAATACTAGCCAATAGGATTCAACAGT